TCTACTAATTACTTTGTCATAGCTCTAAACAGTTTCTCTTTTCCTTCTTTCCCTAAATCAGACCAGACCCCTGTACTGCAGGATAAAGCTGAATGTGCCAGCGCTGGACAGGTTTTTAATGGTTTTGGGCTGAGCAGGGAGGCCCTGACAGTGCTGCTGGATCTTCTGAGAAGTGAACGACGACACGGATGGGGTGCCACAATCCAGACCCTAGTGTTTATCTTCTGTCTGGCCAGTGATACATCATACAGAGTGGTCTCCAGAGTGTTTGACATGCCTCGTTCCACTGTCACCGCAAACCTTTTTTAAAACAAAGAGCAATAGAATTTTTTTAAAAATGTAACCACTGTATTTTTAAATTAACCCAATTTATTGAGACAAACAACAAATATTTTTTGTTTTAACAATCAAACACAAAATTAAAATTAAACAAATATCTAATTTTTAATATTTTATATGCAGATTAAATAGGTCTCAAGGAATCTTTTGGCTTGTCTCCCGAGGCCACAGGAGGGCGCAATGAGCAAAATAATGCAGCACACGTTTCATCACGCCGCGTGAACAAAACCATGTCTGCATTTGTGATCGGAGAAATGACAAACAACAAGCGCTACTCTACACTGCTCAAAACTCGCGTTTGAATCGTCAGTGGCAAATCCTTTAAAGCCTGATGTAAATGCAGTACTGTAACATCTTTCATTCGGCACCTTCATATATAAATATTTTTATATGCGTTCAATATGTGAGTCTTTACTATGTTTTGTAGGTAAAAGGTTTAGTTTTTGGAGGACATCAGTCCTGATTTCAGTTGCTGTTGTGCTCAGTGTGACTGCTGGAATAAAGATAGCTGCGTCATAACAACAGAAGTCTGTTTTCTCAAACTTTAGGTGTAAATATAAAGTATACAATTTTTTGTGTTTATAAAATAAATTCTAAAGGACTGAAGGGGCTAACGGTTAAGTTTTGAATAAGTTGGTTTCAAACTAAACTTCAGAACCTTCTTGAATTAGAATTATTTTTTGTTATTCTCTCTTCCAAACAAAAAAACTCAGTATCATCACATTTTTTTTTTACAGCTGTTGAGAAAACACATGAACACAATAAAACCACACTGATGTATGTTCAAACAATACAACTGCAGGAAATGTATGTGAACCTATGGATTTACCATAAAACAAATGCGTAACTGCAATAATCAGGATTTGTATATAGAGCCTGTGCTTTAGATAGTATTGCATATTTAAAATTAAAGTATTTTTCAGTCTGTGTCAGTAAACAACAGTTGCCCATGTGAAAACTTATCCCATATAGTGTGACAGTGTGTTTCTGTATGTCTTTTCCTGGGTAATGACAGTGAAATATTTCACAAAATATCAAATTAACAAACACTGTTTAATCATACGAAGGAAAATGAGTTAATTACAGTGCAAGTGCGAAAAAAGGTAAGTAAAATTGCAGTTATTGCTATTAAAATATTACAGATCTGAAAGCAGGAGATTTAAATGAGCTCTGTTTAATTTCCCACATTCATAATTGAGCTCATTTATGATCATTTTAGAGTGTATCGTTTTTAAATCCTAGAATATAAACTGGATACAATCCCCAAATCATCAAAAACAATGAATATATTATTTTTTCTTAATGTCCATTTGTAATTTTTTACTCGTGCTCAATAAATACACAGTAAAAACATTACTATTGCAATTTTCATATAATAAGGTTCAAAAGTGAAAATGTCACATTTTGAGTTATCAACAATTTGAGTCAAAAATTGTTACTTATTTGAGTCATCATTTAGGTTAAGTGACACACACAAAAAAGAAATACTAAGCCAGTAATGATAACTTTACAATCTTCTTATGAATTCTCATATCAGCAGAATGTATTCAGACACTCCAGACAATTGTGAAACAGGATTTTAAAAAATGGAAAAAATGTCAGTAAATTAATTTCTAGCAGCCGATTGCCTGAATTTAGATGTACAGATATCTGTATCTGTTTGTGCATGTGTGATAGTTTATGTTGTGCATTTCTGCCAGTTTAAAAGTTTTCCTATAACATAAAATGATTGTACTGTGTGTATATGAAATGTATTTGGTAAGTGTAAGTATTCTGAGGCGAAACACATGTTGACTCACACAAATGTTAACTCATTATTTTGTGAGATTCTGATGATAATACATGCTTTCTCTTTTCATATTTTTCTTGTCATCTCTTGTCATTTAGAGATGAAGTTCATTTGTTTGACGCTGCTGATTATTAATGGAATTACAGATTTAAGATCAGGTAATGATTTATTCCTTTTGAAGAGCTCTTTTTAAAGAGATTAAATGTGTGTTTATGTGTAAAAGAAATAGGGATGAAGATTTGATAATTATGCAAGGAATAATGTACAGTAAGTTATTTGTACAGTTATTTTGAAATGACAGGCTCATTGTACATTATCCCACTTATTACATGTCTACTCACCAAATAAACAAGTCATTATGATATTGATATAGAACTGCAGAACATTACACGTACTGTATGTAGAAAACTATAAGCTTTCAGGATGAGCGGTCTGTTATATAATGATGCTTGGATAAAGAGATATATTAGATATTTACAGCTGATCAGTTCTTCAATAGACCAATCAGTTTTTTTTTCCAGAAAGCTATGCAATAATAGTTAAGTGCAAACCTTAAAACCTGTTTTACATGTAAATGTGTGGAATGAGGAAAAACGTTTCTTAGGACAAGTGTGTCTCTTGTGTTGTTTCTGTTGCCAGTTTATCACAAGAGATCACGTCCAATGTAGAGAAAGAAGAGTGGGTCATTGTTATGTTGCCATGAAGTCAAACACAATGTGTAACTGTACACATTGTACAACAACTTTTTTTTTGTCCTTTTGGAGGTTGACAGCCACTTGTAACTGTCCAGTAATGTATGAAGATGATACGAAATATTTCCTGTTGTAAACAGAAAATCATATATTATTGGAGGGTAAATAAATGACGCCTCAGTTCAGATGTTGAGGTGAAGACACAAAACCTGTGGGACAGCACAGGGTCAATTCATATGTACAAATTATGCTTACCGTGATTCACACTTTAAAAGTGCATTAAAATAGAAAAAAAATAGGCAGACAAAGTCCAATACAGAGAACATGGAAAGCCATAAAAAAAGTAGTCAAGTCAAGTTTAATTCCCCACAAATATAATGTGATAATGCACTGTGAGAAGGCTGTGGGACACGACCAGGTTATTTTTGTGTTCCGTAAGGGGTAATAGAGCCATCCTCTTGGGCCTCACCAATAGTTCTGATTCCAAAAAAGTCAGGAGGTTAGTGTTCTGGGTTGATTACAGAAAATTAAATACTGTTACTTACAGTGAGGCCTATCCCTTACTAACAATTCAGGAAATTCTGGAATCCCTAGAAAGCACTGTCATTTTCACGCTTCTAGATTTGAACAGTGGCTATTGGCAAGTCAAAATGGATCTAGAAACCCAAGACAAAAATTGCCTTTCTGTCCTTCTTCTTGTAAAAAAAATAAATAAATTTGGTAATAGGCTTGTTGCTAAAGTCTGAAAATCCAAGGAATGATTTTTTGCTGTGGGATAATAGGGTTTTAGATGAGATATGTGTATAGTACACAGACCCTCTCCTGTTTCTTCCATTACAACCTGGTAATTCAAAGGACAGATTTGCCATACAATCCTATAAGGACCTTGCCACTTGGTGCAAGTTTGAATGAGAACTTCTTTTCTGCTGGAGAAAGAAGGTGAGAACGCAACCAAACCCAATCACTGTTTTTGAATTCAAGATTGCATCACTTCTTATCATAACTCCTTTGCTGTGGGAGTTTTGCCCAAAATGTTTGTGACACGTTCTTTCATTTCATGGAGTTGAGCAAGGTTATTACATACTGGTGAGTTAGGAGGAATGGTTTGTGGTTCTAATACCAGGCTCCAAGGCATCTCTGAGTGGACACCAGTAGATGGAATTTATGAAGATGCTGGTCCCAGTGGTTGTGTTGGGTCCCTACATAAGAAGCCACCATTTGACAGTGTCTTATTAATCCTTTCGGGGACATTTGTTTGGGGTGGTAGGCTGTGGTAAACTTTTGGGTCAAGTTCTAAGCCCTACAGGCAGGGGCGTAGCCATCATTTCAGAAGTGAGGGGGACAGAAATCCTTTCGGGGACATTTGTTTGGGGTGGTAGGCTGTGGTAAACTGTTGGGTCAAGTTCTAAGCCCTACAGGCAGGGGCGTAGCCATTTGCATTATTAATTACATTTGTAATATTTTTCCTATATTTTCGTAATATTCAGATCTTCTCATTTTGGTTATGTCAAATGTAATAATACCTTTTTTTTTGGTCTAATCGACGAGTTTTTTTTCTCATCTCTTACTTTTAATTGGCTAAGAAATCAAATACCCTGCTGGACAATTACCAATAATTTGCATTATTAATTACATTTGTAATATTTTTCCTATATTTTCGTAATATTCAGATCTTCTCATTTTGGTTATGAATAAAATCCTCTTCATAGACTATCTTTTCTCTTTGAATTGAAATCAAGATTTTTTTCACACTGGCCCCTAAAAACCTCTACGTTAACACACTTGCCCAAAAAAAGTGCGGGGGACGAATTTAGCTTTTATTAAAAGTGGGGGGACACTTCGCCTGCACGCCCGGCGTATTCTACGCCCATGCTACTGGTCTCTGCAAAGATTTCTGACACAAATAGCAGTGCTTGGTCAGACAGAATGTAGTTTAGGACTCCCCAATGAATGATTATTTCTATGACCAGGATTTGTGAGATAGACAGAGCTGTAGCTGTCTGCAATGGAAAAAGTTCCACCCATCTGGAGAAATAGTCAATAAAGACCAGTAGATAAGAATTTAGCTAGGAACTCCGGGGAAAAGATCCCATTATATCAACACAAAGCATTTCCCAGGATTTTGTTACCAGTAGGGTTTGCTGTAACTTCCCAGCTAGTTTCTTACCCTTTGGTTTGTTGAGCTGAAAAACGGAACAATTCCGGACATACTTCTTGACATCCAAACTTATATTAGGCCAGTAAGCAAGAGATTGCAACCTTCTGAAAGGTTTGCATCTACCTAGATGACCTGAGAGCGGGTCATCATGAAAGAAACTCAAAAGCCTTGCACATAAGAAGTTGAGTATCCACACCTGGTAGATGGTACGTTGTGGTAGCTGGAATATACGATAGACTTTGTCCTCAATAAAGGCCAGAGTAATAGAGGAGTTGACTATATTCTTTCCATCATCCAGAATAGATAGATACACTTCTTGCACTTCTGCATCCTCTTGTTGGACTTTCCATACTCCATTGTCAGTAACAGGAAAGACAGATCTCTCCCTTTGGTGGATATTAATACTATGGCACAGGTTGACGAGTGAGGTTGGTCCGCTGGAGCAAGGGAAAGGGCATCTGGAACTGTATTGTACTTTCTTTTTCTGTATTCTGTGCCTAGGCCTCTCTACTGGACAAATACAGCTCCAAGGCCAATATCACTAGCATCAATGTTAACCACAATTGGTAAGTCGAAATTAGGATGTCCTAAGCTCAACAAATGCTCCTTAAGGGTGTCAAAAGCAATCTGACATTCAGAAGTCCATTTAAACCTTGCTCCTTTTTATTTCAGGGCAGTGAGGGGTTTGGCTATTTGTGAAAAATTAGGTGCAAACCTGTGATGTCAGCCTTTCCCAAGAAACATTGAAGGGATTTCAGATTTGAATGCACAGGAAAGTTGTTGAAAGCTTGGGTCTTCTCATAGTCTAATTGAATGGCGTCAGAACAAACCACATGACCGAGGAATTTCAATAAAATTGTTTTATTGTAATGGATTGACACAATTAATTTGGGGTGCCAAGCAGGTGATTATAACCTGCTAAATTTCTTCAGTCTTTTAGTCAGTAAACCCTACAAAGGATTCGTACATTTAGAGGAATAGAAATACTTTTCTTAACATGTATGCATGCATATGTATGTACTTGATTGCACAGACACCATTTAAACTGAGCTGGATGATGACATCACTGAATTCAATGATGAACTGCCTTTAACTGAAAAATGAGTGTTTACTATTGTCATTTTGCATTATTGACACACTATTTTCCTAATTAATGCTGTACAGTTGCATTGACACAATCTGTATTGTTAAAAGCACTATATAAATAAAGGTGACTTGACTTGACTTGTATGGGGGAACTATCAACACACAAACAGCAAGACTTAATTCATATAAACTCTTAGTCATTTTTGAAAAGGAAAAAAGATTCAATGCACAGATTCAATTCCAATTCCAGTTCTGGAGCTCATTTAACATAACAAAAACATTTCAACAATTCAACAAAAAGTTACATAATTCAAAAATGTAATAAAATTCAGGTCATTCCTTGACACCTCCGATACCTTGGGGTGTAAACCACCAATTTCATAATTAATTAATTTTGGTTCACATGAACAATGGGTTCACAATTTAACTTACAGTATGCACTCAGTTTCACAGTCCATCAGTCCATATGCACTCAGACCTTTAAGAATCCTTGAGTCCAGTCAAACCTGCATTTTGCAGACCAGTTGCCAGTGTGTGCAGTTCGGAAAGATTTCTTTCAGCACTTAAAAGTAATGAAATTGGCAAACCCACCATAAGAATATAAAAAGAAACCATACTTGTTTGGTTCAGTCAGTCATCTGTTCTCTCTTTTCTTTGTAATCATCCAGCAAACTTTCAAACAATGTCCATGCATTTCCAAGAAGTCCCTGAATTTTTCTTTCTACCTCAAAGCATTCAAAGCATCTTGAAACATGCAGGGGTTAACTTCCCACACCTTCTTCTACTTCTTCTGGCTTTTTATGGCGGTTGGCAAACAAACAAAAGGTGCATTCCCGCCATCTACTGAGCTGGAGTGTGGTTCATTGATGGAACAGGAAGAAAGACTTAGCTGTGAAAAAAAAAAACAATTAAGGAAAATACCACTAATAATAAATTGGATTCTAAATCCTCTTAAACAGATGCACCTTTCTTAAATATTTCATTAATGCTTTATATACTCTATAACTTTCCAAGTCATTATTCAACAGTTTTTAAGTGTAATATTTCCTATCCCCATTTCTTTGAACTCTTCCACCAGAATTATCCTTTCATTTTGATAAGCAGTGCAATATATTAATACATGCTCTACAGTTTCCGCTAATCCACATAGACTGCAATTCCCAGACTCATGTTTGTTCATTCTATACAGGGAATAATTAAGAGCTGTATGCCCAAGGCGAAGTCTGGTAATGATTGTGTCTTCTCTTCTACTGCCTCAACTTTCTCTTTCACCACCAATTTTATTTTGAATCTGATAAAGATGTCTTCCTCTTTCCTCCTCATTCCATTGTACTTGCCATTTGCCTTTTATAGCCGTAATTATAGCCTTAACGTCTTCTTTACAAAGTGGAATATTCAGTTGTATATAAGATAATTTCAGCTCCTCCTTTGCTAGATGATCCACTTCCTCTTCCCACACCTTCCCATTGTCCAAGGCATTTTATCTTGGCCTGCCATCTTCGCCCTCTGTTAAGCCATGTGTTAACAGAACATCATGTGCCTCAGGGCCTCATGTGACTCAGGACATCGTGCATCACAACGTTTGCCATTTCTACTGGTTTAAGCAGTTTTTCTGAAACAGAAAGTGATTGTAGATGTGTATGAAATGTATTTGGTGTGTGTAAGCAAGTATTCTGAGGCAAAACACTTGCATGTTAACACCATTCTGTGAGTTTCTGATTATAATGCATGTTTTCTCTTTTCATATTTTTCTTTTAGCATCCGTTTTTCTCAGACATGAAGTTCATTTTTTTGACGCTGCTGGTTATTATTGGAATTAGGGATTCAAGATCAGGTAATGATTTATTCTTTTTAAAGAGATGAAGCGTGTCTTTATGTGTTTACGTGGGAGGAAGACATAATTACACAAGGAATAATGTACACTAAGCTGGTCATCGTCTGGCTAAATGGGGTTAATTCTGTACATTTTCCCACTTATTACACATTGCTTACCAAATAAACAAATACATCAACATGAAATATTGATCAATAAGTTATCTTGTAAAAACTGTAGAGACAGAAAATATCCATGAAGTAAACTAGAGATGAAGTAAAATTTAGAAAAAGACAAGAATTTTGAAATGTATTTTAACTTATCTTTAAAACTCATGGACCGTCACACATGTTACACACACATTTAAAGACAGAGCTCACCCAAAAATGAATAACCATACATTGTCATCTTTTACTCTAAAATAGCAAAGAAGCATAACGACCAGCATATAGTTAGTTACCAGGGCCTGACACAAAAAAAAAAAACGATATACCATCTGACTATAGCTTATTTGGAAGGAACAGACCAAAACTAGGTCATCATTATCGTTTCACTGTAGCCCTTAAGTCAAACATGATATGTTATGATCAGTGAGACGAGAAAGATAAAGTTGTGTCGTTTCAGTTTCAACATTAAACCTGAATTGACACATCTAAGTGTACTGCTCTTATGATTTGTTTGTCCTTTTGGAGGTTGCCACTCAGTGATGTATGAACATTATACAAAATATCTTCTTTTGTAAAAGGAATGGAAGGTTTGGAGAGTAAATAAATGAGGACACCTCAGTTCACATAATGTAGTGAAGACTCAAAACCTGTTAGACTTATTCTCTTTTTCTTGTAACAGAGCAGTATGAAGTAGTGGGTCCTGCAGATCCAGTATTTGCTGTGGTTGGTGAAGATGTGATTCTGCCCTGTTCAGTCAAACCCAACATCAGTGTTGTGGACATGAGAGTGGAGTGGTTTAGATCTGATCTGAAAGACTCAGTAGTGCATCTCTATGAGGATAATGAAGACAGAAACACAAATCAGAGTCAGTCCTACAGAGGGAGAACAAAACTGATTCATCAAGAACTACAGAGAGGAAACGCATCACTCAAACTCGCATCAGTCCAAGTCTCTGATGAAGGAATTTATAAGTGTTTAATTCAGTCCAAATCCTGGTCTGTTGATGCCACTGTTATGGTCAGAGTTGAGGGTGAGTAAACCAATGAAAACTATAATTTAATGAGTTTAGTCTTGATTAATTTAGTGTACATGTTGCTGTTTTATGATTCACTCAGTCAATGTTCTTCATCTGTAGCTGTTGCAGGAAGTCCTCCAGTGATCACTGTAGATGGATTTGATGATTCAGGAGGGCTTCGTCTACAGTGTGAATCTGAAGGTTGGTATCCTGAGCCTGTTCTTGAGTGGCTGAACAGTGAAGGAGTCAGTTTGAGTTCAGAAACTACAGACACACACAGAAACACAGACGGATTCAGTGTGAAACACACTATCACTATACATCACAGTGACAAGATTCACTGCAGAGTCAAACTGAGACATCACATGCTGGATACACAGATTATCACCTCAAGTAAGTACTGACATTTTTGTTCCTGTACTTGTTTGTCATGTTCTCGTGGTATTTTTGATTCAGTAAAAAAAAAAAACGATTTTCCGCTTAGGCCATTAAGTTAAAAGCACAGCAGCATTAGATTTACAATAGTTTTGTATTAACAGTATGTATGTACAATTAAAAATTGATCATTATATATTTTAATTATATATAATGATTATATATTTTAAAATGTTTGATTTACACAGTGTGCTTAATTATGTGTTTTTTTTTGCAGGTAATATGTTTAATTTTTGGAGGACATCCGTCATCCTGATTTCAGTAGCTGTTGTGCTCAGTGTGAATGCTGGAATACTGATAACTGTGTTTGTTAAAAAAAACAGAGGTAAATTCTTGTTTTCTTGTTATTTTATATAGTTTATGTAATTAAATTAGATCGCCTGTGAATAGTTTTCACGAACAATGTCATGAACAATGTTAACTCCACCACATCTCAAATTAATGTTTGTGTTTAATCCATGATGGCAGTTTTAAACAATATAAAATGAGTTTATGTATGCTAGACACTTGTTGGCTGGTTGCCTTGGTTGAACAGATGTAGGCCTATAGATGTATTCCAGAAAGCAAGGTTAGCTTACCATCACGTATACGCTGAGCTCTCAGTTGATTTCAGTATGAATAAAGGATCGTCCTCACGATCCTTCTGGCTTTTGGGGTTTTAAGCAGGAAAAGTTACGACAGGGATAACTGGCTTGTGGCAGCCAAGTGTTCATAGCAACGTCACTTTTTGATCCTTCGATGTTGGCTCTTCCTTTCATTTTAAAGCAGAAATCACCAAGTGTTGGATTGTTCACTCACTAATAGGGAACGTGACCTGGGTTGACTGAAGAACCGCATTTTCAGATATTTGGTGCATATGTTTGGCTGAGGAGTCACTGGTGCGAAGCTACCATCTGTAGGATTATGATTGAATGCCTCTAAGTCAGAATCCACCCCTAAAATTAACGATACAGCGGGACTTTAATTGGCCTGGGATAGTGAGGAGAGCCTCTCATGACCGGACTGGGATGCCCAAAACTTGCTTACTCGAGGAATGCTAGTCCCACGGTTATCACATATGACTAGGGCCACTGCTGGCCAAATGGGTGCCCTAAGCAGAATTGTACTGAAACTGAGCTAAAACATGTGCAAAATCAAAACAAACACAGATGAACCCTGACATTATCCCTCGTTTCAAGAAGGCGACCTTATACCTTAACATCCACAAAAAAATAAATAACAGTCCAACAGAGGAGGACAGGAGGGGGCTTAGGTGGGGGATGCCAAGCAAGAACACGGGACAGGCAGGGTCAAGGGAGAGATAAAGTTGGGAGTGGCCTGGGTGGAACCCCTAGCAGGATGACCAGGACATTGACCCACACTGGAGTTGAGGGAGGAAGGAGCCATGGTGAGGCATGGCTGCAGGAATTAGGGTGACAATTGACTGAGACACAGCCAACGGCAGTGGAGTCCAAGGGGGAGCCATGGTGACAAGCAGCTGAAGTGAAACCAGGGCACTGGAGGACTGACGTGGATCTGGAGGAAAGGAGGAGCCCATCAGAGCCGAAGGGATGAAGTGTAGATGAAGGCCAGGAAGTCAGTTGTGCAGGCAGAGTGACGACTGACCAAGGCAGAGCAGGAGGAACGAGGAAGCCCAGTGGAGCTGAAGGAACGATGGTCCAGGTGGAGCTGAGGGAGCGAGGAGTCGTCAGGTCGACAGGCCAAGGTGGCGCGAAGGGTACAGAGGTTCTGGGCAGAGCTATGTGGCCGACACTCTAGGGCTGAGCTGACGGACTAACCAGCTCAAGGCGGATCCATGATGTGCTGGACAGATTGCTTGAGAGGAGACGCAGTGCTGATGCGAGACAGTGAGCGGAACAGGCAGAGGCGATGGGAGTGGGAGGCAGGGTGGGAACACAGACATCAATAATACAGTGCTAGGTGACAAAACAGGCTCGGTGCACAGGTAAACAAGCATGACACACTCAATTTTGAAGTCGATCAGTGCTTCAGCACTTCAGAAACAGGAACAAAACAGCTGGGTAAAGTGCAACGAGAACTAACCATGAATTAAATGAAACACAGATCTTAAATAGACAGACTAAACCAATCGAAATGAATAGAAGGTGTGCAAGTAAATCAAACGATAAAAAACCATGTAGTAACAGATGAAAACCAAAGTACTCCGGAGCAGGTTATGTTCAGATTGCTATGGCTACTTGCATACCCTTAAAGGTGCCTCCGGTTTTTGGAACCGAAAACTGAGTTTATCTGCTTACTTACCCTTAAACATACCCGTGTATGTCACATAATCTGCTTTTTGTAATACCCCCCAGTTGTATATAGCCTATATATTTAGTGCTGTTTTCTCATGTTTCATTATGAAATTTGAGAAAAGGAGAATAAAACATGAAGAATTTTTTCTTTATTAAGTTATTAATTTATTATTCATTTAAAGTCAGTCTCTTAAAGGGGTCATATGATGCGATTTCAATTTTTCCTTTCTCTTTGGAGTGTTACAAGCTCTTGGTGCATAAAGAAGATCTGTAAAGTTGCAAAGACTAAAGTCTCAAATCCAAAGAGATATTCTTTATAAAAGTTAAGAGTCAACCACTCCTACCTAAAACGGCTCGTTCTAACACACCCCACATGTCTACGTCACGATGTGAGAAGATTTGCATAACGCCGCCCAAACGTTCACGCAAAGAAAGAAGGCGTAACTTAAAAATATTTGGCTGCACAACTGTTGATAATTCTAATAATAAATCAGCATATTAGAATGATTTCTTTTTCAGACCGATGAGCTTTGTAAAAATCGACGCGTTTCAAAAAGGCGGGGCATAGAGGAGAAACAATAATGTACAGTATGTGGAAAATAATGTGTTTTTTTAACTTTAAACCGCATAAACACATTTCATTACACCAAATACACAAAATACTGTTCTTTTTAGCAGCATCATATGACCCCTTTAACAGACTCTGTGTATTACTTTTGTGTATCTTGGGTCCTGGTCAGCATTTGTTTGTATATTGTATATTTATTCAGTTAGCAGATGTACATAACATGCTGTACATGGCTTGTTCTTTGTTAGAGTTATAAAAAAAAAAATTCATCTTTTTCTGAATTGTCTTTAGAATGTGATCAACGTTTACAAAATCAGAAGATGATTATATTACAAGGTGAATTTGTTTATATGGCTTCATTAATATATTCATTTATTAATTTTGAATTGTTGGAATGAATGAATGAATGAATGAATGAATGAATTAATTAATTAATTAATTAATATGCTGTGTATTCATATGTGTACAATTCGTTAGATTTAATTATAAGATATATAAACGCTGTAAAGTCTTCTTGGATTTTTTTGGATCAAGTGGTGATTAAAATTATTGATCTCATTATTGATTTAAAGATGAATTCTGTTATGAAGCCGTTATAACTTCGTACTTTATGTTTTTAGAGATCACACATTTAAGAACACACACAGGTGAGTAAAAATTACTCCTGTTTAATAACATAATTATTTATTTTAATAATTAATAATTTAATTTAATAATTCTATTTTCCCAAATTCATTATTATGTCAAACATTTTATGTGTTTGGGAGTTTTGTATAATGCACTGTATAAATGCAATCAAATGATTCAAATCCTAAATGATCAAATGCAGTTTTAGTGCCATAAGAGAAAACTATATATTTAAATTTATAAATGTTTAATAAAAGAAAAGCAAGACAAACAAATCAACAGGCAACAAAATGACACACAGAGAAAACTCAAGCACATAAAATAAAACAGCAAAAACATGATCAGAACAATTAGAACATTAAACATTACATTTATTTACAATTATTGATGTATTTTTTTATTCCTGTTTATCTTGTTGTAAAGTTACCATAATTCCTATTAAAAAAATTAAACATTGCATGTATTTTATTATACTCATCTGTAAAGCAGATGTTTCTATATTTTTCAGCAGGGGATGTGATTCTGGATGCTGATACGGCTCATCCACGTCTCATCGTGTCCCGTGATGGGAAACAAGTGAGAGATGGAAAGACACGACTGGAAGGAGTGGATGGAAAAAAAGACAGATTTAATGATTATCTTGGTGTTCTTGGGAAGGATGGATTCTCCTCAGGGTGTTTTTACTATGAGGTTCAGGTGAAGGGGCAAACTGAGTGGGATTTAGGAGTGGCCAGAGAATCTGTTAACAGGATGGGCTTGACCGTTGTGAGTCCTATGATTGGATACTGGACTGTAAGTCTGAGAGATGGGGAGTGTTGGGCTCGTAAGTCTCCACATGTCTCTCTTCCTCTGAGTGTGAATCCTCAGAGGGTCGGTGTGTTTGTGGATTATGATAAGGGTCTTGTCTCTTTTTATGATGTGGAGGCTATGTCTCTTATGTATTCTTACACTAATCAGTCTTTTAATGAGAAACTCTATCCATTTGTTAGTTTGGGGTATCTGAGCAATGAAAACTCTACACCACTGATGATCTGTGATGATTACTACTGAGATCAGTGACTGAATTTGTGTGCTGAAATAAATGAAATAAAAGGAAATACAATAATAGCAAGAGTAATAGCAATACATATTAAATATTATTTACACTACCAGTTAAAAATTTGGACATTTGGATAATAATGAAAAGCATCACGAAGAGCTTATCATACAGTTAATGTCACAGTCTTCAGCTGGTGTGCCCAGGATGGCCACCAAAGGACACTGTGTGTTGGTGTAAGCACATGGCTTGTGTCGTGTTTGTTTGGTGTCATGTGCTTTCTCCTGTCGATTGTCTGACCCCGCCCATCTTGTTATCTGTTTATTGGTTCAGTTGTCGCACCTGTTGTCCCTAATTACCTGCCCTACTTATTAGGGGTTGCACCGACTAATGGACTAGTCGACTTCAATGCTCTGCCAGGATGCTTTAAGCTTGACGTCGACTAGTCGCTGGTCCTATAGAGGGCGCAACAGGATAAGAAGTCTGAAGAACTTCCACATTTACGCTCCGTTTCCAAACAGTTCAAATGACAAATAAATGCATACTCTGAAAGCGCTCCACAAGACATGTGTGATTATATTAGGTAGAATTAATTAACACACGCAATCGCTCTCACTAATGCATTCATATTAATGTAATCTTTACTGTGCTGCTTTATCTGTATCTGATTTAGAACGAGCAGAAATCTGTGAGAAATATAACGACCCAAAGACAAAAGAACTGATAAAAATTAGCTCATTCTGCGCCAATGCAAATGTGCGCGCGCTGCGCACGTTTAGCTTGCTTTAAAATTATGGTTTTTATTCGTAAGTGAGGGTCCGCGTACAGAGCGCGTGACGCAAATTACATCACCAAAATAGTATGCGCATTTGTATAACGAGTGGTTCCCTGCATTATTTTAGGAAAATATTTTGTGAAGTGTAATTTGTAAAATGTTTTACAGTACTGAGCTGCTGCAATGGAGCAGCTCTAATGCGCCATTAAAATGAACAGTGAAAGTAACAAAAGCTTATACAATACATTTTAACAGGTATAATTAAGTGTGAAAATTACTGAAGGAAATATCTGTTTGATAAATGAAGCCAACTGACATGATTCTTATTATTTTGTCTCTGTACCCAATATTTGTAAAAAATGTGAAAATACAGGTATCGGTATCGGCAAATACCAAAAATGAAAGTATCGTTATCGGACTCGTTCTGAAAAAAAGTGGTATCGGTGCATCCCTAATATATATATATATATATAGCGAATGCTGTTTCCTCCTGTCTTTATTCTGGTGAGTTTGTTTTTATTAAATAATTTAATATCAAGTCTATTTTCATCCACAAAATATTATATTAATAAATTTTAATATATTAATATCATATACACTGTGTGCACAATTATTAGGCAAGTTGTATTTTTGAGGATTAATTTAGTTATTGTACAACTACAGTGCTCTTGGTCAATCCAAAATGTTAACAAACCCTCAAACCTGAACATTTAAGTAGTAAAAGTGAAGTTTTGGCGTTCTTAAGAGAATATCTACATGTACACCGTTAATAATTTTGTGTATATATTAGGTCTTGTAGTTTTTAGTTTTTACTCTTTAATCAGAAAACATAATGGCCTTTGTATTTAATGTTTCTGTTGTCTAAATTCTTTGTTCTCTGGTCTTTATTTTGAATTTTCTTCAGAACATGATCAACTACTGAATGAGAATAGAAGAATACAAAATGGTGAATTTATTAATTCGTTATTCATTTAAAGGGGTGGTTCACTGTTTTTTTTTTTTTTCTAGGCTTGATTGTGTTTATGGGGTGC